GGAGTATTGTGCTTTGATATGGTCAAATGCTAATCCTTAACCGGGTAGTTATAAAAGACATTTTCATGTATATAGTGTGAACTATGCAAGAGGCTTATGTAATCAAGATGAGATTTGTTCCTCTTATGTGTTGAGAGTTAGACATCTAAGGCGCCTTACCAAAAGTTGAACCCTAATGAGATTGATTGTGATATGTATCTCATGTTCAACATAATGTATGTGACAAAAGGATGACTGATAAACTTACCTTATACACCAATTGTAGCTTTGAGCTTTTTGGGAATTGGGTTTTGATAGAATGGCACAAATTCGTTTGTTGATAAGGGCAGTGAAATGTTGTTAAACGTTCACCACTGTCTATATCAGTCTAATATAAGTCTTGCGTAAGTGAGAGATTGAAAGATCTAGTATGCTCAAGAATTATACTAAAGTGATATTGCTAATTAACATATGATACTAATGGGTCACACTAACAACAACTTTATATAATTGATTATTTATTAGAAATTGATTTTAATAATATTCAATAAACTCTTATAATTAAATTGGAAATTATTTATTTCTTGGAAATAATAATTTTCATTAGCAAGTAACATAATATATCATATGGTATGATTTATTAAGTCATGTACAACATTTTGAGCTAGAAAGCCTTTTGTCTTTTAGCCAAATGACAAAGTTTATAAATTATAAAAGAGATTATAAATTTATAAATTTTGGCTCCTCTTTTCTTCTTACTTTTTCCGATAATTAGAGATGGAAAGAGAGGTATGGTTTGTATCTTATTTTAATCTAGGGCACATACTTTAGAAATATGAGATTAAAGTAACAAAAGTGGCATGGGTCATCTTAAAGTGTTAAGGACTTGTGGGTAAAGAACTTGGTTTAAGTGAATGTTTTCATCTCTTTATTCATCCATGCTAAAACCGTAAGTATGTATGTGTGTGTGGGTGTTTCTCTCTAGTTTTGTTGAAGATTTGAAGATCACACTCTTGCCTTTTGCTCTCTTCAAGTCATATTTTGATATGCACTTAAATCTTAAGAGTCTTAAGAGTTTTATACTAAAGAACTAGCATTCTACATCAAAGTGAGTCATTGTTGGTGTCTCTAAAGTTTTACATTCTCCATCAACTTCCAAGCCTCCCAAGAGGACCCAAAGAACTACAAAGGTTGTTATTTCTTTATCTCTTCTTTGGTTGGTAGTTTAATCTTTCTATAACTTGCAAGATGATCCTTGGTGGATATAATTTGTTATGTTATTTTCGAAAATCATAAGTCTCCCGTTTGCCATTTTACTAGTTTATGAAACTATTTTTGAATTAAAACCCAACATATTTATATTCCAAATTTTTCATGTTATGAATATTGGATTTCTTGGATCTCTAGTATTCGGATGCAGACCCTCTTAAAGAGTGTTTGGAGGCGGTTTTCTAACTTTGTGGTGTGTCATTTGGAGGTTTAGGAATAACATTTTGTTTGGAAGGAAGAAGTTTAGACTGACGACGGATCTTTTTGATAGAGTTGATTTTTGGACTAACAATAAGAATAGAAGAGCCACCATTAATTGGGTTGGTTGGCTAAGATTGCTATTTCCTAATGTCTTTGTATTCTTTTTAGTCTAACGTCTTGTTAGTTTTTTGAATAAATTCTTTCTTTTGCTGGTAAAAAAATAACTACTAAACATTGCCGTTTAATTAGTCTAATTGTAATAGCCCTCTAAAGATTGCCTTTTAATTAGTCCAATTGTAATAACAACTATTACCTTTTAATTAGTCCAATTGTAGCAACTAAAGATTACCTTTTAATTAATCCAATTGTAATAGCAACTAAAGATTGCCTTTTAATTAGTCCAATTGTAGCAACTAAAAATTATCTTTTACTTAATCTATTTGTAATAGCAACTAAAGGTTGCCTTTTAATTAGTACAATTATTGTAATAGCAGCTAAAGATTGCCCAAAAGTACCTTATTTTTCAACTCGTTGTAACTTGTTTAACATAACCTACAACTCGTCAAAAGGATATAACATTTCACCGAATCCTATGGAGCCCTAAAAATCTATCAATCGAGTAAGTTTAGGTCTTTAAAGGACAAGATTCGACCGCATATTGACAACGAATCCTTTTGTGGTTTAAAACTTTTTCACAAACAGAAAACAAAAAGATGGGTCACTTATATGTTTGTAGAGAACACTTAGACCCATGGATAATTTAGAAATGTGTCCTTTTCAAGATTACATTACCCCTCAGGGAAATAAGACATGGGTCATCTTGTAGCATATGAAACAGCTGCCCAATTCACCTAGAGAGTACTATATATTTGTCCAATTCTTGCTTGTAGTTCTCATATGCATGAAGCATTTGTAGGGCACCCATCTTTTCACAGGAAACTCTAAGGTGTTTGTGTTAAACCAACCAACACCGATGGAGACAACTCCATAGCCACCATGCTACTCATCTTAACACTATTATGATTCACCATCTTTGGCCATGTGAGTCCGTGTGGCAAGTCGGGCCCACGTCAACCATCGTTTGCTTTACCAGATGAATCATTGTTCTTATGAAAACAAAAAATAAAAACAAAAAAAAGAATATAATTTCTTAGAATTTAGAAGATGGATCGATAATAGTGTGGACAAAGTGTATAAACAAATATAATGTTTTGTCATATTGTTATAAAGAAATGCTACAACTTAAAAAACTGAGTCAGAATGATTTGGAAAATCAGTAGGTAATTAAAAAATAAAAGGTCAACTCTTGAGTCATATAGTTTATTCTTTTGACAGTTGGTAACGAATGTCATGAAATCTGAGAAATAATTGAGTGCCCGACAATCCATTCTTATCCAGGGTAGCATATCAGCTTACCAAAAGAGGTGAAATTTATATTTTATTTATTTAAAATTTGGTTATGCTTTTGTTTAAATGGATAAATTTTAAACACTATAAAATGGATCAAGGATTGAAAGTCGTTGTCTTTAAATGCTTACACTATTCTATATCGTTTTATTGAAAATTAAATTATCATTTATATAATATAATTTTATAATCATATTCAACAAGCTAGTATGTATAAAACTCAAAAGATAAAAATAAGAGTTACATTAAAATAACCATTTTTGAGCTCATATATTACTCAAAAATCACTAATTTACTATTTATGAAAGAAATAATGGGCTTGCTAATTGGCAAATGGGCTTATGTCCACAACACAACTCCTTTCTTTTTATATTAGCAATGAAGCAAAAATCAGTTATCTCTGACCCTCTTTCTCGATTTTGTCTGTCAAGCTCTTCGTCTCTCAATCGACCTTCATCGATTATGTTCTTCATTTGATTCACACACAAATTGTGAGTGTGTGTTTTCCTTCCTTTTCATTTTTTTCTTCAATCTCATACATAAAACACATATTTAAATAAGAAATAAACAAGTCATACATTCTTATATTCTCAATCGAAGACATATTTAAATAAGAAATAAGCAAATCACCATCGTCTTCTTCTTCTTTTATAATTTTCTCCAAGTTTACCAAATAAATTAATTAATAAATTATCTAGAAAAATATAAATTTTGTAGGAAAAAAATCTGCCAGAACATGTACACACAAAAATTATGAAAATCTAAAATTCACAAGCTTGAATATACTCACGGAGTCACAACTATATTAACGAGGTTATATGACAGAAAAAAATAAATTTGTGAATTTACATGCATTTTTTCATAAAATTTCATATATATTCTTATTAAACATCAAAATATCCTATTATATACGTAGATGAAGCATTTTGTTTATCAAGAGAGCGACATTCCAATAATTTAGAAGTAGATGTTGTATTATTATATACGTAGCAATAATATGGTTAAAGTTTTTAATTATTATAATAACTCTAATATATAAAAATAATTATTATTTATTAAAAACATTGTAAAAAAAAGATTTGGACAAGTATGATATTTTGAAGGTTTATAAAAGGTAATATGATATTAACAATATAAGTTGGACAGATATGGTTTTTGATATTTAAGAATGGCATATATCATTTTATAATAAAAGATAAAAGAGTAGGCACATGGGTATATTTGACCTCTGAATATACTTATTTTATCTAAAAAAAATATTATCCGTCAACTCAACCCATATTGAAACTCTTCTGAAAATTATTCTTTTTTACTAAATAATTTCATATTTGTACCTGTACTCGGTACTTATGTATACAAAAATAAATATATGTTAGCATTGATGCTACCAAATATTTCAATTTTCTTATTTTTTTTTTTTAAAGGTTTGACTGTATCATTACTGAGCCAGTGACTTTATGAAAGCATATCATCTCGGAACCAAATGTAATCATATCTAGAAACAATGTGTAACATCTCATATGTTTCACATACTTAAATATTATTTTGAGTTCAACCATAATATTTGCAGTAACTATAAGTTCATCTAGCTAGAAGTTTGAGAGATAGATTGACATTACAATTTTAGAGTTTTAATCCAATTCCCACACATTGTAATAATGAGTTCAGAAAACTTCATCTCATATGTAGATGGTCTTGTTGAGAGATAGACTGGATTCCATTATGGATTGGACTTAATGTGGACAGTCATCTAACAAGTTTTTTTCTTTTTTTCTTTTAATAATAAAAAAATAAAAATGTACTTTTTGTTTCAAGAAAATGTATATAATATAAAAATTGATCAAGAGTGTGATGGATGACCATTCCATAGAACATATACACCTGTCTGTCCTTAAGGTGGGGGTGCTAAATGACTGGACCCATATGGTGCATGAAAACCGGAGTAGCTGAGAAAACATGTCTGAGGAAGTGGGGATCTGGAAATTTAAGACGTTTTTTCATCAACAACCAACAAACGTTCTCCTCAAAACATGTCTCCACATGCCTTCCTTAACTTCATGTTTTCATGTTGTTTTCTCAAATTACCTCGTTTCTTGATTTTGATGTTTCCTTCTTTCTCTCCAACCAAAAAAAAAAAAACAAAATAACACCAATGCTCTTAACTTCCCGTTCAAAAACATATAAAATGTTCACGCAAATATGAAATATTAGGAATTTTTAAATTCGATCACAAGTACAAAAACTTCCATTTAAAAGAAAAACAAAAACTATTCTATTTTAAATCATCATAAAGAACCACTTAATCAAATGCATCATCATCATCATCAGGCAGTGGTTGGTTGGCAGCCTGCGCAAGCTCCGCTTCATGCCTACACAAAAGGGCAAAAAAGGTAATTCATGTTTTACTTTAATTTTTAACAATTATAAAAAAAAGTTAGGGAGTTGACTTACTGTTGTTGGGCCAACAAATCAATTTGGACCTCTGGAGGAGCAAGGGCAGGTGACTCCACAAAATGAAGGTTTGCATCCCTAAAAACATGAAACCAGATTTAAAAAATGGAAGAAATAGAAATAAAATTTGGATGCTGTAAAAGAAAATAGTTAAATAAAGGAAAGTAGGTTGCTATTAATTACCCAGCAAGCTTTCTGGCAAGGTACAAGAATGGCTTCTCAAAGTTGTAATTGCTTTTAGCAGAGATTTCATAGTACTGCAAATTCTTCTTCCTATGGAATGTAACTTGCTTTGCTTTAACTTGTCTGTTCTTCACATCCACCTTATTTCCACATAAAACAATCGGAATATTCTCACACACCCTGTTTTCACACAGAAAAAAAAACAAGGGTATTTACGTCTTTTCTACAGACAAGAGATTGATAGTGAATGCAAATCCATGTCCAAAAGTTTTCCATGGGACAAGAAACCGAAAGTTTTGTCCTATTGACATCAGTCTCAGTCTGACATGTCAGATCAGATCAGATATCTATATCTGACACAGTACAATCTGTTATGTCATGTCATGTCATGTCAGAGTCTGTGTAATGAATGGGGACTAATTGAAAGGATATAAAAAAAACCTGCAAAGGTCGCGATGCCATGTAGGGACATTTTTGTAAGTGAGCCTAGCTGTGACATCAAACATTATAATAGCACATTGTCCATGAATGCTGTGTAAAAAAAGTATATATTATTAGTACAAAATGAAAGCAACATAGAAGAAACAAACACGATATACTAAGTTTGTAAACCCAAAGTGTGAAACCCCAAAAACAAAATATTAACATTCTCAAAAATATTATATTTTTTAAAACATTAGTACTTAATGAGAAAAACTCATTTACCTAACTTTGTCTATTAAGTTGTTCTTTCTGTAGAGCCAAAAAGAAACACTCATATATAAGCTTATTGGATGAAATTCCATCCCCATTGAGTAAAAAACAGCACCTTAGTTAACAAAGGACACTTTTTAGTGTACTCAAAAGGTATGTAGGAAAAAAAGATAAATCATTATGGTGATTTAGGTTTAGATAATTTGATAAAATTTTCACAAATGTGATGTGATTGGATTTGATTGTAAAAGAAATGTGATCTTTTTTGTTGTTGGTAAAAGAACATGAAACTACAATGGTAGACATATCAATTGTACATTTTTTTGATCCTTTTATGTTCAATTGTATAAGATATTAAGATTGATGTGATTAGGTTCTCATTAGAGATTTTAAACATTTGTAGTAGTTAAATTTTGAACTTGAAAAGATTAATCATATGAATCATGATAACTTTTTCCAATTATTCAATAGATTTTACTTACTAGTATCCATCACGAAGACCACCAAACTTCTCCTGCCCTGCAGTATCCCAGCAATAGAAACGAATCTTTCCACAGTTTGTGAAGAAATCCAATGGGTGAACTTCAACTCCAATAGTAGCTGTTATGAAAACAGAGTGAAAAATCTCAGAGACAACAAAAACATTAAATGCAAAACCTATAAATCCAAAGACATATTTCAAGAGATTGATACAAGAAAAACTTACGTTCATACTTCTTCTCAAATTCACCAGTTAGATGCCTCTTCACAAAAGTAGTCTTCCCTGCATAAAGCATAAAGAGTTAAACACATATGACATTAGTAAAAACAGACTAATTCTAATGGAAAAGTTGACATGAAATACAAATAAATACCACAATTACAAACTGTGATCTTTCTAAACCAGATAACACACTGTAAACAGATTTACCCTTTAGGACTTGCATAATAAAATACGATGTAATTAGGCATAGGGAATCAAATAATGACAACAAAATGAAGTAAACATGTACTTATAACATAAAAATTATATAAACAACAACAGTAAATCCATACCTGTTCCTCCATCACCAACAATCACCAGCTTAAAGCTTGGATAATCAACCGTTTGTTGATTTGGTAGAGCCTGCACGCATCAAACGTATTTAATCATTCGTAAAAGTGGATACCAATTTCAATACATCGCATATGATCTATACAATGTAAAAATAAAACTCTCAAACAACGGAAGATGATTTGAAATCAAAACCCTAGCTAAACCCTAATAACGTGTAAATACTTCATTGTTCATAGGATATTATAACAACAATAGAAAAAATATACAACAAAAGAGACAATACCATGGTATATCAGTATGGATTTTGATTTGCGTATTGTAAACAATGTCGATTGATTGGTTAGAGTTTGGGTTAGGTATATATATAGTGAAGGGGAGAAGAAGGGATATGCGTATGCTAGCTTTGAGTTGACGCTGATTCGTCAAGATTAGCGTAAATGTTCCGCTCATTATTTATGGCAAAATTCTTGTCTCTTTAGATACGCATTCGCGTCTAAGTTTTTTACCTTCATTTTTTATTTATAACTAAATGGCTTATTATTATTCATCAAAATTAAAATGACCACTAAATCATAATGTTTTCAATTTATAACTTAAAATGACCATATCGCCCACTAATATCGCTTTGTGACTTGTGAAGAGAAGATGTTTAGAGGATCATGTCTTGGGTCGTGGTTGGATATCTCAAAATATTATGGAAACATGTTCTTTATCCATATTATGCTCTTGTCTCGTATACACGATAATGGGATGATGTGGTTTCATGTTCAAGGATACAAACTGTATTTTAGACCTTGTGGGTTTTGCCTTACCTTCCGTGTTTATGATTTGTTATTGTTACATTGGTAAATGAGGATATTGGCCAATTTAGGAGTAGTTGTTTCTTTGGTTGGGTCTTATAATTTGTTGTATAGCAATGATTTAGTTGAATTGTTTGAAAGTACAAAGTTTATGACTTATCAAACAGAATGTTGTTTGCTTGTGGTTGTCCTTTTTTTTTTTTTGGAAAGAGAATTTCCCCCAACGAGGGTTCCGATCTAGCTTTTTCCACACACCGACTAATTTCCGCTGCAAACATGAGGTTATGCCTCATGTCCTATGTGTGTCATGACATTTTGTGTAATTGGAACTAACATGTGAGTTAAGGGGCTTATCATTTGTGCTCTATATTATATGTTTTGATAAATGCGGAGTGCATGCATATATAAGATCGAATTATAACCCGGTACAACAGAAATGCGGGGGTTAAGGGGGTTGCGCCCCCTTGCGAGATCCAAGGGACAAAGCCCCTTGCGGGGTTTGGGGCAATGCCCTAAATGGTCTTCAGAAATTTGAATTAGTTTCATTATGGAAAAACCGAATTCTAATGGGTGATTATGTAAAGATTGACAAATATTATCAGTTTTTTATGCCATTAAATTTGAGATTCTCCTAACTAATTTAGAAGATAACAACCCTAATCTATCATGCATATATACGGCTCCTCTTTTGATCTGAAGAGAGAACCATTCTCGGCTCTTCTTCTTCTTGAACGAACTTAGAATTTTCTGACGATTTGGTTTGTGTTTATGTGCTTAGATACACAAGTGTCCTTTTAGATTATCCTAGAATGCATTTCTCGTAACCCAGACATAGAATGAAAATATCAGTTTGAAAATTGAACATACACGATCCACAATGAATTCGGATTTCCACCATCACCCTACTATCCCCCAACACCATGGAGTCACTGCAGACGAATCTCTGTGACCATAGAGGCTGAGTAGTGTTGGGATTTGAATATGGGTTAATAGGTTGTCCACCATATCTTTCACATGGCTTACCAAGTCACCACAATCTAAGTAGTTGTTTCTTCTTAATTTGTTGGAGGTTGAATTTACAGGACGCGACATATGGTTTCCTCATGGCACATGTGCCTTGTCGATTATCTAGAGGTATGAAACATGTATTAAATTCACAAAATTCAATGTCATTTTGTGCATATTTTAGAGCTAATCAGTAGTTTAGGTAGTTGTATCACTTGTAGTGTAACAATATCAAAAGGAGGTGGAAAGGTGTTCATCAACAATATATGGAGGGTTCAAGTCTCCCTTGAGACAAAAGAAGCAGTTAATGAGAAAGGTAAGGAGTGTGTGTGTTATTCTAAAAAATATTGTTTAGGTGCCCATGATGATTATATATATGCAAACATGCTTGCTTTTGGTGGTTTCCATGCAGGATCATTCGAAGAATAAACTGAAGACGGATAATAGGAAAAAGAAAATGAAAGATGTGGAAGTGTATAGTGTATACAAATCAGTATATGTGTCGAACATATTATAACTTAAGATTATCTTGTAAGTATTAACATTTAAAGGACAATCTGTTGGCTAATGTTTGTCCTTGTATGGCATTATATATTTTGATCTTGGAGACTTTCCCCATTCTATCACTAAAAACAAATGTCATCTCAACTTATACTTTCATTTTCAGAAAATCTATAATTTTCATAAGGGAACTGATTCGTACACAATATTTTTTCTCCGTACACAACAATTTGTGTTTTAAAGTGTTGTATTGTACAACTTTATAATGCATAAATTGTTGTATATGACAAAAAATTGTTGTATACGAATCACTTCCTTTTTCATAATGCTATCATGTTGTCATGGCAAGGTAGATTTTTAGTAATTATTTTATTGCTTCAGAAGAAATTACAACTTTTGAAGTAATTAATAATGTATGTTTTTTAGTAAAAGAAAAAGAAAAAAAAATTGTATTAAACAGAAAATCATCAAACTTATTATTTATTTATTTTATGAAATCAACCCTCTAAAGAAAATATCCATTTTGAAGGATAAGCAAGTTTCAATAGTAAAAATGAATACAAGAAAAAAAAAACAACTCAATGTTTACATGCCAACTCACATGTATAGGACGTACAAATATTAACCACAAACAACATGCAGTACCATGAATTAACAATAATGAAAAATTATTATTGTTGCCAAAACAACAATCTTGAAATCAAAATAATAAGGAATGTTGTCTCACTCCCCTTAAAGATCCATTTATTTTTAAAAATAAAGAAAGAAACTAGGGCAAAGTACGCTGCTGAAGAGGCAATGCTCCCAAGGCTTCACGTTCTGCTTTCTCCCTCTCTACCTGTAATAAAACAAAACATAACAGTTTGTTCATATCAGCAAAAATCAATCAAAGCTTATAATAACACACAACTTTTATAATGTTTAAAAAATACATACTACAAAAACTTGACTTATTATCAATTTATCATCATGTGACATACATGATGCATTATCAGTTTATGGCCTATTGGCTTTGCTTTTCTAGTTTTCTTATCATAAAACTATTCTCAGTTGACATACATGTCGCTAGGGGTGTAAGTGAGCCAAGCTACTCGTGAGCTACTCGGGATCGACTTGTTAAAAGCTCGACTCGAGATCGAATTAAACGAGCCTGAGCTCTTAAATATGAGGCTCGTTTATTAAACGAGTTCGAGCCGAGCTTCAATTAGTGTGTGTGTGTGTGTGTACACACACACACACACAGAGAGGCTCGTTTAGACTCGCGAGCCCACTAAATTGTTCACGAGCTGAGCTCGAGCTTCATTTTAAGGCTCGAATCGAGCTCCTCAAAATTAAACGAGCCGAGCTCGAGCTTGGCCGGGCTCGGCTCGGCTCGTTTACACCCCTACATGTCACGAGATTGAAATCTTAATCCACACAAAGCAGTCAAAGGTAGGAAGGAAGAGAGACAACAAACTATCAATGAAGTATGTCGAAAGGGTCTAAGGCATAAAGTTTGTAAGATTGGGAGGTGGTTTTACGATACATGTAATGTATTGTAAACTTTTATGTCTTGTTGGAAATCATTTTTGATGCAGGTGTTAATTATTATAGATTTACAACTTATAAACTTTTATGATGTATAAACTTCATTCAATGTCGCGACATATGATAGTTTCCAAATAATGATTAATGCTATCGGACATTTTGGCCCAAGAGAAATGCACCAAGTATGCATGAGTTAAATGTTCTCATACTTGATCAAGAAGTAAAGGTTGTTCAAAACCAAATTGTTGAAAATAATAAAGAATGAACAGAAAAAGGTGATTCAATATTATAACGTGATTCTATAGTTCAAAAATATATCAACTTCACTTGATGTTTCTGATGTTTAAAAGGATGCGGATTTGTTGTTTCGTGTTCTTGATAAAATGGAGGAAGTTGGTGAAAAGAATGTGGTGCGCATAGTAATTGATAATGCATCAGCTTATGTGAAGACAAGTAATAGTTCTAAGCGAGTGCTTTGGCTCAGTGCTTAGTGCTTTGGCTACAAAAACCCTAAAAGATTTGGGGAGCCTTATGTCTTTAAAACCAAGGTTCATTTGATAAAAATTGCTATTAGGATGTTCTGAAACATTTTTCATTGTAAAAAACAATCAAATGCTAACTTTTTCATCAGACAAAAAGACAGACTTGCCATACAAGTACATTGCCATAGAAACAGTCATCCGTGAAAATTAAGCTCCTTGAAAGTAAAAAATTTACAATTATGTTGTCATAAATGATAACATGACAAAAACCATGGCGTCATGGAAACAAAATAACATGAAAAAATCAGTGAAAATGAAACATAGTCGGATTTTAAAAGGTTGATCATTCTAAATTATAGTAACATGTTAAGAAAAGTTACGCCTTAAGAGTAAGTGCCTTACAATTACAAATACTATCTTCAAAAGCAAAGTTTGACAGAACCATGTTTTCATACTCTATAATAACTCACTTTTAAGGGTTTGACAACAATCAAAATAGTATAAAGAGGTAACATAAACACCCTATTTTTGTTAATATAATAGGCTTTTCTTTCATGTTTGAAATTCTTCTTTCAAGCAACTTGGCCTAAATTACAAAGACTATGTATGCAGAAGTCAAAAAGCATAAATTGCAGAAGAACATTTCATAACACAATTTCAGTAACTCAATTAAACATCCTTATGAATCATGTGATCTCCTAGAGTATGGAATACTTATACTGGCTACAACTATAAGGACATGAAATTGAAACTAGAAGCAGCAAGAGAAATAAACAGTTTTGTGATGTAGTATCAAAAAGGATACGATCAATTAGTAAAGTACTTACCAGGGCCAGCATGTCAGTTAGATAGCTCCTAAATGGCGTCTGTTGAGCCTGTAACAATCAAGAAATACATCAAAATCAGAACTTTTCTCTTGTGTTCGATTTACCCAAAACAGTTCTTAGAAGCTTCGAGATATGTAAATAAATGAAACTGATCCATCGATAATCGTATTGAAAAAAGCAAAAGAAAATCGATTTCACGCATGACAATACACTAATTATGAACAGAAATGAACCTCTAGATCTTTAGGAAGGTACTCGTGTTTCATGGAGAGATCCATAGCGCGTAAGATTCGCTGGTTTCTAGCATCAACAATCTCACGAGGCAGCCTTGCAAGAGCTTCCTTTATATCAAGGGATTCCATCGGATCGTACAAATCGTCATATCGCAACCCTAATTTGTCATCAATACCACCACAGAACCACATCAAAACATCATAATATACTAAAATCCCAAACCAAAATCACAGCAATCACAAATCCTGAAAGAGTACACGACAAATTAATAAAAACCTAGATACTGACCGTATTTGCGAAGGCGATTGGCGATGGTTTTCTTGTGCAGAGCAGCGAACCAATTTTTCTGCGGATTCAAAATCGCTTTCACCAAGGTCGCCATGGAATTGATTTCAAACCTTCCCACAAAGAGACTTCCCTTTTGCCTCCGGGCTCCGATCTTTCTAGACTGCTTCTATGCTCGAAAGTTACGTTGATCGTAACTTGTTAGACCGAAAGGTTGAACAATAGCGGATAGCCGTTCGATTCCCTCAGGCCCCAGGCCTCACGCTCAAGGGCCCAAAAGATCTTAGCCCAAAACCCCGTTCGAATTACCCATATTACATGTAAAGTTAGTTGAAAATTTATGTAATCACCATGAAAAAAAAATTATTACAAAAGCTTGTAAATACTTTTTGAAAAATCTACATGAACTTTGAAAAAGGTTATCCAATAGTTTTTTAGAAACTTAAATGATGTTTGGTTTGAAAAGCTCATGTTGTTAATGCTCTTAGTTGCAATGCAACTTACTGTAACATCTATTTTTCAGGTATTCGTTTTAACCCTTGAGTTATGCTCTAATTGCAATTTATTCCCCGATGGCAATTTTGTAATTTCGGATTTGTTGGAGTACACAACGCCTTAGAACGTTGCGCGTACGCGGGTACGCAGGACGTCCGAAGCCAGGGTGTAAACCCTATATTTAGGGTTTGAGCCCTATTTAAACACATTTATGGCTTCATGCACCTTCCTACCCATGGCCGGTCCAAATGTATATGGGGCCCAGGGCGAAAAGAAAAAAAAAAGACCCCTAAAAGACAAATATAATAAAGATTCAAAAATATATATATTATTTATTCTTCACTATAAACGCGTTCAATTAGCAATAACTAGCAAGTCAAATTGTTTATCTTTTGAGCTAGTTTTGAGTTTGAACCAACTTTAGGCCATAAAAATCATTTAGGTAATAATTCTTTTATATATATATATATATATATATATATATATATATATATATATATATATATATATATATACATTACATAACCCAGAAATTTTGGGCCCCGTAGTGACGTGGGCCCTGGGCGGTCGCCCGGGTTGCCCACCATCTAGACCGACCCTATTCCTACCTTTAGTCTCCCTCCTCATTCTGAAGCCCTAAAGAGTGTTTGTGCATTGTGAAGCTTGTTGATCCATTTTTGATGCCATTTGGAGCTTTTAGAGTAGAAGGAAGAGCATTGGAGTAGTGGTGTTTCACTCAAGGCTTTGGATCCAACATTTAGTCCTCCTTGTGCACCTTGTGGTGGTAAAAACTTTCAAACTTGATGAAGAAATCTCTTGGATCTAGTTTTTGCTCAAGTTGTTTCCTTTTTGGTCCCAAACTTAGTCTTTGTGAGAAGAAGATACTCCAAGGCATTTGAGTTGTCCTTTCAGAGGTTTTAAGGGGTGGTGAGTCATAAAGTTGGGTACTTGGTCACTAGTTTCCTTCCATGCAAGTGCCAGATGGTCTTAATGGGTTAAGAGACTAGGGTTTTTGGTGTTAAGGACTTAATGGCCATGCTAGACCATAAAGTTGGAAACTTTATGGTTTAGAGCATCTTATATGACCTAGATCTTATGTTTGGACGTATGTGCTTAAGGGATTAAGCACTTATTTAGGAGGTTGGCAAGCAGCCTCGTACGCAAGCGGTATCGAAGGGTACGCTGAGCGTACGAGGTCAGCACCCCGATCCTCGTTCTACTGCGAGGTACGCCCCACGTACACGAGAAGTACGCCCCGCGTACTGACTGAGTCAACCCAGTTAACTCCGTTGACTTTGACCTGGATTTTGATTAGGGTTTGACCTAGGGGTATTTTAGGTATTTGAATGGTAAACTGATTTTTGGTTACTGTTGTTCGTAAAGGTGACCATTAGTGAGGATTTCATAGCAACGTGTCAGTTCAGCTTTTCGTCTGTCTATGAGGTGAGTTTTCCTAACACCTTAAGTGGATCGAAGGCACCAAGGCCGACCCACTGTAGCATATGAGTAGAACTTGATGTTATTGTATGATTTTGTTTGTGTGCTAGCATGATTTATGTATTGAGCTATATGGACCCGGGGTTGATACAGACCCGGGGTTGATTCAGACCCGACACATATTTTGGGTTGATACAGACCCGGGGGTTGATACGGACCTGACACAGCCACATGTTGTTATTATATGATATGTATGTTGTATGTGGTAATTTGGAAAGCTCACTAAGCTTTATGCTTACAGTTTATATTTATGGTTTCAGGTACTTCCAGTTCAAAAGGGAAGGGCCCGACGTGATAATACAACATCATCCCTGCATGATTTCCGCACTTGATGTATTCATACTCTGATGTTTTGGAATATTGTAATGAATTATGTTTTTTTGTACAATCAATGAATAAAAACTAATGGTTTTGACCTAATTAAAATTGAAAATTTTACTTGGTATTTTTGGGACGTTACAAGTTGGTATCAAAGCCTTGGTTTGAGGAATTCGGGCACACTTTTGGGTGTGTCAAAACTCAAACCGAGGAAATGATAGTTTTATTAAATAATAATGAATTTAAACTTTTAAAAAGTGCTTTATTTAAGAAAATAGGGGTGTGATGCGTGCAATCGGCCAAGCTCAAGTAAATGGTTCCTAAATTACCCAATTTATGTTTTCTGAGTAGTATGTTTGATATGAGAACTGTATGCTAGAGCAGGGCTAATGATACTGTAACATTCCAAGTTCGGAAGCAAGAAGTTGGAGGGTGCAAAGTGTAAATTTAGGAAAGGGACTCGACGAGTAGGTCCGTCTACTCGCCGAGTCGGAGCGGGATTCTATCAGAGTTTAAGTGGCCAACTCACCGAGTCGGAGACTTGGACTCGACGAGTTGGTGCTGTAGGAAGAAAACCCTAATCCCGAGGGTTGCACCCTATTTAAAGGACTTTATGTCCTTCTCCCAGCCTCCTAATCCCCCCTGAGAGTTCCAGAAACCCTAATTTTTGTGTGAGGCTTCATTATTGAGGAGATTGGAGCTTGGAAGAGGAAAGTGGTGAAAAGAGCTTGAGGAATTAAAGGCTAACATCAAGGGGCTTGTGTGGATCTGGGATCTACATCTGTTTGGGCACATTTCAGAGGTAAAAAGCCATAATCTTATGATGATTTCCTTTTTGATTCATCCTTGGTGGTTGATGTGAAGTTCCATAGCTTGTTTGTGAGCTATTTCGAGTTAGAAGCTTAGATCTGAGGTTGCTACTTCAGATCTAGACTTGTGTTGGTCCAGAAAGTCATAAAGCATCAGTCTTTGAGTTGTTGGTGAAGCCCCTTTGTCATAAACCCTAACCCTAGAGTGTTTTGGACTTATATCTCCTTGGTTTCACGTAAAGTTTGCAACTTTATGTGAGGGTTAGGTTGTAGAAGAGTGGATCTATGGATTTGAGCCTCTGCATGGCTCGAAAAGCCTCTGTATGGATTGAGAACTGAAGGGACTCGGCGAGTCACATGGGTGCACTCGACGAGTCGTATGAACATGTGCATGGACTCGGCGAGTGGAAGAACAACTCAGCGAGTCAGTTGAAGATTGTCTTGAACTCGGCGAGTCTGTTCTTGGACTTGACGAGTCTGGTCGCAGAACCCCAATCTTTTCTGGTTAAACCTTGAAGCAGTGAGTCGGGAGGTGACTTGGTGAGTTGAGCAGGATGGGACTCGGAGATCGTTGGACTTGA